AGAGATACGGCAAAGGTTTAACAGAGCCTGCTACTTAGAAGTACTGCCCCTCACACTACACTTTCACATCTGGGAACTACAGACTGCTGCATTTTCCTCATTCAGTCTAAAGGGAGACTTGAGGTTAAGTCTTAAGGTTAAAAGTCCCTCCAATATCCTCTCATCCATTTATCGATATGGAACAGTCCCCATCTCCGTACTCTAACCCAACCTGAGACACTAATGACTCAACCATTCCCCTACACATTTTTCAATAGCGATGACTGGAGTGTAAACACAAGGTGTTGTTAAGCCTTAGGGGATAAGTAAGTAGGGGTTAGGTCGCACCCTAACAGCAATGAAAGAAGACCTTGCAAGCAGCCACACACCCATGTGACGCATAAATATCAGTGAGCTGCTGATGAATCATCATAAATACAGTACCTGAAGGACGACAGACTTTGGCAATCATCCTTGTTTTCTTATCTGCAGGTTGCTCTGACTTCTGGAACAAACATTTTTAGATAAAAAAGTCTAGTTTTAGTTTACATTAAGGAAAAAAAAAAGAAATTACGAGAAAAAGATTATACATTTCTAAATTATTTTTTTAAGACGTTCAAAAAGTTGTTATTGTAAAATGTCACATTTAATCAATGGTTGACTTAATGTTTTTTTAACTCAAAGCAAAAAAAGGACAAATCTACATATTTGGAGGCAAACAAGTTTTGTTCATGTTTCTCATAAAATTAGGGCATTTAGAGAACATTTTTTGAAATTTATTTTTATAAAATCTTTTTGTCAAAATGTGAACTTTTTGTGTCAAATAAGAGCATTTGAAAAATAAATTTCAAATATTTTTCAAAGTTTTATCTTTTCCTGCATGGCTCTCATGAAATTAGGGCAATTACAGCACATTTTTTGAAATTTATTTTTGTAGCATTGTCTGTCAAAATGTCATTTTTGGTTAAACGCTAATACATTTATTAGTATTAGTAATACAAGTTTATTTTTTCTAAACATTTTATCCAAAATATTTTTTTTCTGAAACTTTTTTCAAAAATGTTTTTCTAAATTTTCTTTTTTGATTTTTTCAAAAACAAATTTGTACATTTTCTTTCTCAAAATATTTTCTAAATTTTTTTTCAAAAAAATCTTTTTCTAGAAAAGTTTTCTTTCTAAATTTTTTTCCAAAAACGTTTTCTAAAAAGTCTTTTTTAAAACATTTTACATTGAAATATTCATATAAAATACTTTT